CTGCATTTAGAGCTGCAGAGTCGATACAGGTATCAATGTTGACTGCATTCAGAGCTGCAGAGTTGATACAGGTATAAATTTTGACCGCACTTAGAGCTGCAGAGTCGATACATGTATCAATGTTAACTGCACTTAGAGCTGCAGAGTTGATTCAGGTATCAATGTTGACTGCACTTAGAGCTGCAGAGTTGATTCAGGTATCAGTGTTGACTGCATCCAGAGCTGTCTCCATCGATGTGTTCCACGGCTGACTGCCCCGTGTAAGAACGGCAAATGGGAGACACTCAGAATGAATGTACATAGGTAAATGTTAGGAGGGATGAACCACTTTCCCAGGCGTGTATTCCAAGAATGTTTCAGCTTTTTTACTTCATTTCAGGTACTGCTGGGAAATTCAGAAAGTCCACTAGTATTAGAGATTGAGCTAGGTTTAGTTCAGTTTATTTTTCTTCTTTCGTTCGCCTGAATTAGAAAGAAAGAAAGAAAGAAAGAAAGAAAGAAAGAAAGAAAGAAAGAAAGAAAGAAAGAAAGAAAGAAAGAAAGAAAGAAAGAAAGAAAGAAAGAAAGAAAGAAAGAAAGAAAGAAAGAAAGAAAGAAAGAAAGAAAGAAAGAAAGAAAGAAAGAAAGAAAGAAAGAAAGAAAGAAAGAAAGAAAGAAAGAAAGAAAGAAAGAAAGAAAGAAAGAAAGAAAGAAAGAAAGAAAGAAAGAAAGAAAGAAAGAAAGAAAAGAAAGAAAGAAAGAAAGAAAGAAAGAAAGAAAGAAAGAAAGAAAGAAAGAAAGAAAGAAAGAAAGAAAGAAAGAAAGAAAGAAAGAAAGAAAGAAAGAAAGAAAGAAAGAAAGAAAGAAAGAAAGAAAGAAAGAAAGAAAGAAAGAAAGAAGAAAGAAAGAAAGAAAGAAAGAAAGAAAGAAAGAAAGAAAGAAAGAAAGAAAGAAAGAAAGAAAGAAAGAAAGAAAGAAAGAAAGAAAGAAAGAAAGGAAAAGAAACAAACAAACAAACAAACAAACAAACAAAGAAGAAGAAAGAGAAAAAGAAGAGGAAGAAGAAGAAGAAGAAGAAGAAGAAGAAGAAGAAGAAGAAGAAGAAGAAGAAGAAGAAGAAGAAGAAGAAAGAAGAAAGAAAGAAAGAAAGAAAGAAAGAAAGAAAGAAAGAAAGAAAGAAAGAAAGAAAGAAAGAAAGAAAGAAAGAAAGAAAGAAAGAAAGAAAGAAAGAAAGAAAGAAAGAAAGAAAGAAAGAAAGAAAGAAAGAAAGAAAGAAAGAAAGAAAGAAAGAAAGAAAGAAAGAAAGAAAGAAAGAAAAGAAAGAAAGAAAAAGAAAGAAAGTAAAAGAAAGAAAGAAAGAAAAGAAAGAAAGAAAGAAAGAAAGAAAGAAAGAAAGAAAGAAAGAAAGAAAGAAAGAAAGAAAGAAAGAAAGAAAGAAAGAAAGAAAGAAAGAAAGAAAGAAAGAAAGAAAGAAAGAAAGAAAGAAAGAAAAAGAAAAGAAAGAAGAAGAGGAAGAAGAAAAAGAAAGAAAGAAAAAGGAAAGAACAAGTGTTGTATGTGTGTGTGAATGTGTGTGTGTGTGTGTGTGTGTGTGTGTGTGTGTGTGTGTGTGTGTTTGGGTATTGTGTCTCTGTGCGTGTCTGAATGTGTGTGTCTGTGTGCATTTGGATGTGTGTGTCTGTGTGTGCTTGTCTATGCTATGCCTTGTGTATGTGTTTTCTATGTGTGTGTCTCTGTGTGTTACTGTGTATATGTCTGTGTGTGCATGTGTGTATGTGTTTGTGTCTGTGTGATTTTGTATGTGTGTATATGTTTGTATGTCTGTATCTGTGCGTGCGGCTGTGTCTGTGTGATTGTGTGTGACTGTGTATGTCTGTATGAATCTCTGTGTGTGAATGTCAGTCCATGTGTGTGTGCGTCTGTGTGTACTTGTCTCTGTGTATGTCTGTGTGAGCTTGTCTCTGTGTATGTCTGTGTGTACTTGTCTCTGTGTATGTCTGTGTGGGCTTGTCTCTGTGTATGTCTGTGTGTGCTTGTCTCTGTGTATGTCTGTGTGGGCTTGTCTCTGTGTATGTCTGTGTGTGCTTGTCTCTGTGTATGTCTGTGTGTGCTTGTCTCTGTGTATGTCTGTGTGTTCTTGTCTCTGTCTCTGTCTGTGTGTGCTTGTCTGTATGTCTGTGTGGGCTTGTCTGTCTGTATGTCTGTGTGGGCTTGTCTGTCTGTATGTCTGTGTGGGCTTGTCTGTCTGTATGTCTGTGTGGGCTTGTCTGTCTGTATGTCTGTGTGGGCTTGTCTGTCTGTATGTCTGTGTGGGCTTGTCTGTCTGTATGTCTGTGTGGGCTTGTCTGTCTGTATGTCTGTGTGAGCTTGTCTGTCTGTATGTCTGTGTGGGCTTGTCTGTCTGTATGTACTGATAAGTAAAGTGAAGGACCCTTTTCCACGCACTGCAGGCGTATTGGGTATATAGGGCTAGAACTATATTTTATAGACCAAACTGTACAATATGGGTGTAATGGTGAGCATCATGCCGGCCGCCTCTACTTCCCAGGACTGCATCCGGTACCCACTGAAAAGTTCAACTCCACCAGGAAGCGAACCCACGACCGTCCGATCCACAGGCAAGCTTTCTATGTTTTTATGCTTGTGTGTGTGTGTATATATATATATATATATATATATATATATATATATATATATATATATACATGTGTGTGTTTGTGTGTGTGTGTGTGTGTATTATGTAGGCATGAATGTATGTCTGAATGTATGTGTGTTGTAGTTGTGTGTGGATGAGTGTTTTCTTGAATGAATGGGTGGGAGTGTGAATGTGTGTGCGCGCGCGAGTGTGCGCATGAATTTTACCACCCAGGCGTTTTTTATTATTCATAATATGCAAATAAGTATATGAAGATGTTCTATTGATCAAATACAGATGATTTATGAAAGATGGGTGTTTGAAATAGCCGAATGTAAAACGGCTCTGCGTGCCCTATTTGTTACCCTTTGAAAATAAAGTTGTTTTCGTTCGTTCGTTCCTTCGCTAGTCTATTCTTTTTTTTTTCTGTCAGGCAGAAGCATTTCTTCAAATAAAACATCCCTAACTGCTTGATTTTACGACATGCTTTTTATGCCGCTCACCGACATGGGGAAACGCTGTCTGAACACGGAGAACCGCTGTTTGATCACGGGAAACAGCTGTCTGAACACGGTAAATTACTGTTTGAACACGAGGAACCGCTGTTTGAACACGGAGAACCGCTGTTCTAACACTGGGAACCGCTATCTGAACACTGGGAATTACTCTTTGAACACGGGGAACCGCTGTCTGACCACGGGGAATTACTGTTTGAACACGAGGAAACGCTGTTTAAACACGGGGAACCGCTGTCTGAACACAGGGAACCGCTGTCTGACCACAGGGAATTACTGTTTAAACACGAGGAACCGATGTTCTAATACTGGGAACCGCTGATTGAACACGGGGAACCGATGTTCTAAAACTGGGAACCGCTGTTTGAACAAGGTGAACCACTGTTTGAACAGAGGGAATTACTGTTTGAACACCGGAAACTGCTGTCTGAACAAGGGGAACCACTGTTTGAACACAGGGAATTACTGTTTGAACACCGGAAACTGCTGTCTGAACAAGGTGAACCACTGTTTGAACAGAGGGAATTACTGTTTGAACACCGGAAACTGCTGTCTGAACAAGGGGAACCACTGTTTGAACACAGGGAATTACTATTTGAATACCTGGAACCGTTGTTCTAACACCGGGAACCGCTATTTGAATACGGGAAATTACTGACTGAACACGGGGAACAGCTGTCTGAACACGGGAAACCGCTGTTTGATCCACTGTATTTTCTGTCTTCGTAAACCCGTCTCATGCAGTGTGTATGCGCTGTGCTGAATCCTCAGATGTAATGTTCCAGTACCTACCCTCTACACCCAGTTCGTTTTTAGTTATAGAAAGAAATCCAGGAAACCACATTAACCCGCACTTAATCGTTATACTGGGGTTCACAACGGCAAAACAATCGCATGTTGTCCTGTCTGTGTTTGAGGTTTGGTGTAAATAAAGTAACGAATCTCTTCAAGGATTTTCAATCCATTGTAATTTTTGAAAATTTCACAAGTAATAGCAATTGTGTACCTTCTTCGTCGTTGTCTTCGTCGACCCGTCATCATCATCATCATCATTATCATCATAATTATCATCATCATATGATTTGCCCTTTTATGTCACGTAGGGCTGCCACCCTATTCGGTTTTTGTTTTTGTACATTCAAAATACGAAGTTTATTTAGGAACAACTCGCATTTTCCTTGCCGATGTGCCCATGTGAGTTCCGGTCTCATTTTAGAGACATACTGTCATCAAAACAAGGAGACTAATTATGTGTTTACTTGAAAAGTATGTGTTGGCCGAAAAGAAGATATCGCAGCCAGACTGTAAAACACAACAATGTGTGCTATTCGTTATTTGAAGGGCAAACGCAGAAGCGGGAGAAGCTTGTTTTGGAAGTGATCACAAGTTAGTCTGAATGTTATCAGTTAATATGTTTGGTGATAAACTGAGTGTTCAAGAGATGGTTTCACCGTTATTGTAGTCATCATCGACAGTTTGGTTTTCTCACCGGTAACCTTACACTGGAGATCTTGACACTTCTCGAGTAAGTTGCAATGAACATCTTCGAGTGCTTTTTTTTTTTTTTAAATCTTTGTAACGAACACCTATTGATTAACACAATTATTTTAGATGCATTCGACATCCTGATGTTTCCTGGATAAGTGGAAATGAACATCTGGATGTCTTCACTTTTTGTTGTAAATGTCATGAACATCATGAGGTGTTTCCTGTTGTCTTAGTTGCAGTCAGAATCTTAAAGTCTTCACAGCTGATCAAAATTTTTAACCTCATCATGGCTATCTCCGCACAGTCTCCACTTTCCCTATGTTGATTTCAGTATCAGATCATCATCGTCATCATCATCATCAACATCCTCATCAGTATCATTATCATCTACATGGTTCAGTCAACAATTTGCGGAAAGCTTTTCGGAACTCCTGGTTAAAGATGGTGTAGATAACGGGGTCGAGGAAGCTGTTGATATATCCCAGCCACTGGAAGAGGCTGAATAAGATCGGGTCAACGTTGCAGATGGGAAGCTCCACCAGATTGTAGCGGATGCAAATGGCGTTGAAGATGTTGAGTGTGAAGAAAGGCAACCAGCAGACTAGAAACACCCCTGGGGAGACAAGCAGGTTGAGCCATTGGTTACAGGGGTATGCAGATTCAAAAACACAACCCTATATCGTAATAAAAATAAATAAATACATAAATCGAAATTTTTTTTTTTTAAGTATATAAAATAAATACGTAAAAAATAAATCAAAATAAAGAAAAAAAATTAAACTGATCAATCAAACTAGATGTAATAATTACAAATGAAAATAAAATATAAAATAGGAAGAAAAGAAACAAAACTACGTCCATTGCAAAGGTAAAGATTGACTGCATATATTTAGAGGGAACTATTGTGGTAGATTGCCTTCAAAACCCAATATTTCCACGGTTGCTGGGATGCAGATATTTGTATCTTGCAGTTCCAGAGATGCCTATGCTGGGAAGGGTCGTGAATACCGAGTCACCAACCAAAGCACTAGCAGCATCTGATCCAAAACACAAAATCCTGCACCAAAGGATACACGTGCTGCGCAATAACAGATCTCATTGAAGTCCAGCTTCGTTGAAGTCCAGCTTAAGCTGCCTTAAGCACAACAGCCTCTTGACTGAGGATATTTCTATGTAAATAAACACTTTTTTGTACTGGAGAGAAGGGATATCAGAACGAGAGCTTGTCACCAGAAATCTATTCATACAGGTCATACGCTAGCATATAGTGGCCGTATGAGGATATCGACAACATCCCAGAGAATTTCGTGTGATTATTACTAGCTAGGAATTATGGGAAACATTAAGAGATATGTACGCTCATGTCCAGAGTGTCAATAATTTTTTTTTGAGACACGTAACCCCCTCCCCCCCCCCCCCCAACCCACCACACCCCCCCCCCGTTAACTTTGAGGACATGCCTTTTATGCATAGCCTTTTTAAATAGTAGTGGTAGACATTACTGGACCTCTCCCTCGGTTGAAGAAGAAGAAGAATGCCTATATACTGATCTATAGTCATCTGATACATGCACGATCTAGTCAGAAGCTCTTTCGCTGTAAACTATTGATTTATATAGGTAGCTTATGCCCTTATTACTATCTTTACGCGGTTAGGGTTTCCTTACTAAATCTTTACTGACAACTGGTCTGTTTTTGGAAAAAGCGAAAAAGTATTGGAAGAAGTCTTCCGAAGTTTCCACACCAGCCATATACACATTAGTCCAAACAACTCACAGTCCAAAAGAAACGTAGAAAAATATATCGGCACCTTCATGGCTATTATGGGAAAATGGCTACTTTCCAGTAGCATTATTTGCGTACACACTTCCACGGGTTTGCTCCAGCAACTCTGTTATACGACCGATCAATAGGGGGCCACTGAAGGCTCTTCTGCAATCTTAGACTTAAGACTCGGTTTGGGAGACAGTAGTCACCGCCTCCTAATATTCGAGGAACTGAAAAAAAACTTCAATGAGGGCGGGAACTGGCTGCCGATAACTTGAAAAAAGCGTTAATAAACAGGCTGCATATTACAGAAAGATCGTTCTTTGAATACGGGGGACAAAGTTTTACTGTTGTTACCCTAGAGAAGAAATAAATTAGAAATTAGTTAAATTGGATCATACTTTGTTGTGAAGAGGGTATCCTTAACCAGTTATAAGATAGCCATTAGGGAATCTCCAAATGAAATATACCGATGAATCCAATGAGTGCCTAGCGACCTTGTTTGCTATGCCTGTTGCTAAATAAATAGGGGGAGGTGAGAATATGGGAGTAGAATACCCGTTAAAACTGCAAGAATCTATTCATGCTTTTGTAAATTCCCCTTTGCACCCAAAGCACAAACAAGCTAATGATAGGGTATTGTTCAAACAAACAAGTTCTGACAGATTAGCCTGGTTTGACTAATCTGTCTAAGTATTATTTAAAACTCTAAATTTCCGAACCCATAAGTCAAAATCCATACACTATTCCGTTTCCAAAGTAAACGACACTGAGGGAGGAAATACAAACCGTCCGAAAAATTAAATATATATCACTCGGAATCTCCGTATAGTGCATGAGTTGTGTTATCAAGTAAACCGACTGGAGAGCATCGTTTGTGTATTAATTACAATCAGCTGAACAGGATTACAGAGTTTCAACCCAATCCCTTCTTCTTCTTAAAGTCCATACCATGTGGTGTAGGTAGCCATGTTGTTATCCATAACCTTCCGTATCGTGTACTTTAAATTAACTCTGACACAGATTATCTTATATGCCATAATGTCATACCATACACCGTCTGTTCTCTCGGTCTCCCTCTGCCTCTCCTCCAACTTTCCTACCGTCATGATGCACTCCAATTTTCTCCTTCTTATCATATGACCAAAGACTGTAGATCCTCTCTTTCTGATATGGGCAAAAAGTTATCTTCGTGAGTCAGTTTCTTTCAATACGTCTTTATTACCCTTTTTATCTGTCCAGAGTATTTTCATCATTCGTCAATTAATTCTTGCCTGGTTTAAAAAAAACTTTTTGCAAAACTGTGCAATGCAACAAAAAATGTTTAAGATAGAAATTAGTAAAGGGTACTAACAAAAAGCTGTAAAGGCTTAAATACGTAAAAATGTGGTCTTTAGCACTTGCAAGGACATCATGAGTTTAACAACATCCCGTTTGGGTTTTATAATGCTCCTACGGTGTTCATTATGATGATAAGAACACTGTTAGGACCTTTTGAAGATTCTTATATTTTTCGTTTTGTAGATGATATTCTGACAGCTTCTAAAACATTTATTGGACATTTAAAAACTTGACAGGGTGCTAATATGATTAAATAAAGTAGGTTTGACTCTACGATCCACAAAGAGTAATCTGGCTTTTCCCACTTTAGATTTTCTGGGACTCACAACTGGAAACAAATAAATGTATCAAACAAATAGAATGTTGAGAAATGTCTTAAGGCATCTAGACTGACCACAAAGAGAGATCATTTATATTTAAGTGTGGAGTTTAATTAAAAAAAAACTAAAGATTGTAATGGCACTGCTAGTCCTTTCAACAAATGCTACCAGAAGGAGAGCTCTAGTGATAATTACATGGATTCTGGAATGCAAGACAACTTACAAATTGTTGAAAGAATATCTCACGAATAAACTTGTAATAGTTACCTGACTTAATAGTAAGTTTACATAAGAGCAGATGCAAATGGCATTAGGTCAGAAGCTAATTGGTTCCAGAAAAATGAACAACAAAATGACAATCATATTTCTGTTGGCTATGCCCGAAGAAAATTATATAGGGTAGAACAAACCTACTCGACAATCGAAAAAGAATATGTAGGGTTAGTTTGGGGAGTTCAGAGGTTAAAAACGTACCTCCACTGAGTTATAGTAGATCTCCAGGTAATGGTACGTTCTACCAAAACCGCGTATGCTAGAGTGACTTTATCTGTTCATTTCAGTGTTTCATTCTATGCTACATCCGTTCGCATTGTAAAATAACATCAAAAGTAAGGTCGAATATTTTAGGAACCACAAAAAAAGGGAGTACAGAGATGGACAAAACAATACTTAGCTTAAAAGAATAGACATAAATATTCAAAAACCACAAACCATTTTCAGAATCTTACCTATGACTATGGCAAGTGTTTTAGTAGCTTTCTTCTCTTGTCTGGAAGAAGATTTTTCTTTCCTTTTTCTACTCAGTCTCAAAAGAAAATTTAACCTTGTCACTCCTTTCTTTTGTCTCTCAGTGGGTGAATAGACTTTCCCCTTATCGGTTTTTTCTGTTCTCCGGTCGTCATTCACACCTGCGTTGCAAAGCACGGACGTAAACAGAGTTTTCGCCTCGTTTGCGCAAGTTTCATGGTCTCCTACACAGCCGCCACTTTTGCCGTATTGAGCCACGACTTGAAAACTTTCTTTCTCAAGCCGATCTAGCTCTTCAGCAATGGGGTCAGTGATCAGTTCTGCTGATTTCATGTTTCTGTAAAATCTATGACAGATCTGCATCACAACGTTGTTATTGTCAGCATTTCCGCTAACACTTATAGTGTCCTCGTCATCGTCGTCTCTGGAATTAATATCAGAGTGCGAATTCGTGTTATTCCTAACGTTATCTTTACTATCTTCCGATTCCAACACCTGCGATATTCTAGCTTTTGTAGTATTGTACGTCGTGACTCGACCTTTCTCTACAATGGCGAGTCCAGTAGTAACCTCAGCACCAGTGACACCCTCAGTGACGTTCACAGTCTGAAACCCAGGGTTGGTCGGGTTTTCTATGACTCCTTGCAGCGCCTTTTTGTCCACCTCCCGCATCTGCTTAGCTATCTTGGTTTTCAGAACGCGCATGCGTATCACCCTGTAAATCTTCCAATAGAGAAAGCACATGATGACGGAGGGGATGTAGAAAGACCCCATGGAGGAGTAGATGATGAAGTCAGAGTTGAAGAACTGGCAGTCTCCGCTGTTCCTGGCTTTGGAGTAGTTGACCCTTAAGGCTATGGGCGCCGCTATGGCCACGGAGATGATCCAAGTGATGGCCAGCATGATAAAGACTCTTTTAGAGTTCTTGTGTTTAGCGTATTTGATTGGCTGAGTGACAGCGATAAACCTGGGAGGACAGATAAATATCCGGTCAGTATCGGAGTGGACAACACGCAAAGCAAGCTAATCAGTTGTTTGTTATTTGACCACAGTATCCGAGTTTTACACAATAGAAAACGTGTATACTTATCAGTGATTTTACCAGAACACCTCTCAGTGATTTCACTAGTACACTGATCGGTGATTTCACCAGTTAACCTATCAGAGATTTCACCAGTAATTATTGCAAGTAGAAAACATACATATATTGACTGACATTCGCAGAAAGAAAAAAAAATTTTTTTTTAATATCAATAAACCCTGAGTTTTTAACCGTTTGGTTCGGTACAATGGATATCGGAACCCTTCGGCATTGATTCCATGACAGATACCGTAAATCTGGGAGAAATGTGGCTTTTCTGTTTACCCCCTGGCGTGAACACCGCCCTCAAGGAGCCGTGTCACCATGTCGCCGAGAAGTCAGTTTTAACAACCTACGCTAGCGAGCTGGGTAAGTAGAACTATAGAAGGGCACACTAGACAAAGTGGACATAAACATCTAAAGCTATAGTTACTACATCAGCAAGCGAATCTCACACCTCCAGATGGTAACAGCTCCTCGCTGTTGTTGTTTTTTTTTTTTTTTCAACTACTACGACGTGGTTTTCTTTTCTTATTAAAAGGAGGAGGAGGAGAGGGTATGAGACAAAGTAGTGCACACACACACACACACCCACACACACACCCACACACACACATACACACACACATGCACAGTCACCTTTATAATTACTTCTCAGGCATGCATACACAGATACAATTTCATACAAACGGCAGCACACTCATATATCAACGTACATACACTCATGCGTACAAATGCATTAATACATACACACACAAACATACCTACACGTGAATACATATACATACATACACTGACACGCATACCAACCGCAAACAGCAATACATAATACACGAACTCATAAATACATAAACACCTATATATACATAAACATCTAATCACATACAATCACACCTACACACCCAAACATCATTAAAAACCCTCACATACCCATACAATCTCACATGCACAAGATCCTAATCATTCACACTCACCCATACATAAGACGAAGAAGAAAGACAGAAAGAAAAATTTAAAAAAGATAGAAAGATAGAAGAAGTTGTTTTGCCTATGTTGTTGTTGTTGTTGTTGTTGTTTTTGTTGTTGTTGTTTTTGTTGTTGTTGTTGTTGTTCTTTCTTCTTCTTCTTCTTCTTCTTCTTCTTCTTCTTCTTCTTCTTCTTCTTAATCTTCTTTCTTTTTTTTTTCTTTTGCTTCTTTTCTCGCTCGTCCTTTTCCTCCTCCTCCTATACTTCTTTCTATTATTTTTCTTCCCCTTCATCCTCCAGTCCAGTCTCTTTTAAGCATTTCAACTACACTATAAAAAGAAGAGATACATGGAGGGAATCTATAATGTACTTCATGAATTGACATATTTATTGTCTTGTATGTCATTTATGTATAATTCTCTTCTGTTCACAGCTTAAGAAAAGAATCCCTTGTTCTGTTTTGTCATGGTATGTTCTAAAGCTCATTGTGGGTGACCATCTTGTGATTATCATGTTGCATGACCAAATCATTTGATATCCATGTGTTTTTAAAAAAAAAGGCAAACACTGGTGCTGTTTGCTTCCCTATTCATTCTTTTCTTATTTCGTATCTTCGGTTGCACTTAAATACTATGTGGAATGCAGGATTGCTCTTCTCAATCATTCTAGAAACAGATTCTAAACTGGGGGTCCAGTCAACATAGATACGACTGAGGTTTCCTTCACAGTCTGGCAGCGTCTGTCTAAAAGGGATAGGACCAATAGTTTAGACGTAATGAAGCGATATTAGTAAAATGGATGTGCACGCACCACCCAATTCCTGGAACGAAATAGAAGTCTACAAGTCGACGAAAATCCAAAATTGTCCGCTAAAGTTTACAACTGGGAAACGTGACGAACAAGAAGAATGCTACGTAAATATTACGTCTGTTCTTTGTTTGACTGAAGCTTCACCCCACTAAGGCATTACACAAGCAATAAACACCCAGTGACATAAAGTGTCACCATGCGGATGAGGATCACCCGTGGAGAGGTCCCAGAAACTCCGATAAACCCATAGGTTGGGTTATATTACGGCCCCCGGCAATAGCCAGAGTGGGGTCAAAATAACGAAACATGGCGTCCCATACTGAGACGGTATTGTTCATCGTATTTATTTTCTCGTTGCATTTATAACAGCCTGTGAGAATTTGTGGACAAATATTTACATTTTAAATGTCTCTAAATAATGTATCCCTTTTATTACATTTAGAATACGAAGTACGCCCTGGGCACGGACGATTCTAGCTGATGGGCCGTAGGACTGACGACGTGAGCTTGACGTGACGTCACCACCCCGGGCTTACAGTACGGCCCGTCTTCACTCTGACTCCTTTTTCTGTGTGCGTTCCCGGCGTTCCAAGGGGAAGGCAAAAAAAAAGATAAATACCTGGATGGTTTGACTGTAGATTCGGAGGAGGCAAGTGTACTGACCTAATCGCTCATCAACAGGGCACACAATCTATGCCTTCTTTTTTCTTCTACTCCTGGAATGCCTCGCGAGGAAGAGATCTTTGGAACAAGCACTTCTATACGCTTTATATATAGTACTTTTCAGTGCCTCTGATATTTCTGCGGTCCATTTTCTGCGTGATCGACCTCTGGGTCTGTTATCACTGTATCTGTATAACATTGCTCTCTGTGGTGCCCTGTCTGATGTCAATCTTGTTACACGGCCAAACCATTTGATTTGTTGTCTACCTAAATGTCTACCATTATGAATGTGTTTCCATGAAATAAGTCACTCACCTGTCCACACAGATTGCGGTAAGATTGAGGATGGAGGCCGTACAGCCGAGAACATCTGAGGCCACCCAGGCATCACACAGCCCGTCGGGGAGCAGCCAGCGGTACTTCATAACCTGTCACAGACAACAGCAACAGCGTCATGCAGACTCGTTAAGACAATGGCAAGACTGAAAGACGAACACCCACATAAAAGCCTGTGGGAGTCCCAGGTAATCTCTCAAATCCTGATCGAAAAGTCTCCTGCGTTGTTACTTGAACACGTAGGTGTTTCTTTTACCTTCCTTACCTATATCTTCTGCCAAAATATAACTGTATGTTCCATATTTGCTTTATTGACATAAATTGTTTGTTTCAGCTGATATATAAATATATATGCAACACACTCTACATATAAACAAGGCAAGGCTCTGTAAACAAGACAAACAAAAACAGTTGCCACACGGTAATACCATTTTAATACACACATCTAACATTCAATAAAAGTGTACTTCTTTTCTTGAACTGCTCCGACTCAGTTGTGTACACTGTCTTCCATTTGTATCATATTGTCATAGAAAATTAGTTTCAACTGATATATAAATGTGTATGCAACTCTACATGTACACACGGCAACGCTCTTTAAATAACACAAACAAAAACAGCTGACAAACAGCAACACAAAAACAGCTGACAAACAGCAACACAAAAACAGCTGACAAACAGCAACACCATGTAATTTACACATGTTCTAATACTCCTCGAAAACACTTTTTTTTTATAAAGAAAAGGTTTGGAAGTCTCAGGTGATTGTTAACTGAAGTCCTAGCTGATTTTAACTGAGGTCCCGGCTGATTTTTAATTGCAGTCCGAGCTGATTGTTAACTGAGGTCCAGCTGATTGTTAACTGAGGTCCCAGCTGATTGTTAACTGAGGTCCCGGCTTATTCTTAACTAAAGTCCCAGCTGACTGTTAATTGAATGCAGTAACGGCTTTCGTAAATCTAGTTTACTTGGGTTGATATTATTATAACAGCAGAGTTAGAAAAGGATGTGGTAGTGAAGGAGAAGACGGACGAGAAGAAAAATAATAGTAAGATTAGACGGTTAATATGTTCCACACGGCTTTGACACAGTTACCACAGACTTTCTTTAAAGGTAAGGGAGACAGTTTGTGGTAACTTTTTACCTCTATAGACAGTCTGTGGTAACTGTCTTCTTTACCTCCACAGACAGTCTGTGGTAACTGTCTTGTTTACCTCTAGAGATAGTCTGGGGTAACTGTCTTCTTAACCTCTAGAGATAGTCTGTGGTAACTGTCTTCTTAACCTCTAGAGATAGTCTGTGGTGACTGTCTTGTTAACCTCTAGAGATAGTCTGTGGTGACTGTCTTCTTAACCTCTAGAGATAGTCTGTGGTAACTGTCTTCTTAACCTCTATAGACAGTCTGTGGTAACTGTCTTGTTAACCTCTAGAGATAGTCTGTGGTGACTGTCTTCTTAACCTCTATAGACAGTCTGTGGTAACTGTCTTGTTAACCTCTAGAGATAGTCTGTGGTGACTGTCTTCTTAACCTCTAGAGATAGTCTGTGGTGACTGTCTTCTTAACCTCTAGAGATAGTCTGTGGTGACTGTCTTGTTAACCTCTAGAGATAGTCTGTGGTAACTGTCTTCTTAACCTCTAGAGACAGTCTGTGGTAACTGTCTTCTTAACCTCTAGAGATAGTCTGTGGTAACTGTCTTCTTAACCTCTAGAGATAGTCTGTGGTAACTGTCTTCTTAACCTCTAGAGATAGTCTGTGGTAACTGTCTTCTTAACCTCTAGAGACAGTCTGTGGTAACTGTCTTCTTAACCTCTATAGACAGTCTGTGGTAACTGTCTTGTTAACCTCTAGAGACAGTCTGTGGTAACTGTCTTCTTAACCTCTATAGACAGTCTGTGGTAACTGTCTTGTTAACCTCTAGAGATGGTCTGTGGTGACTGTCTTCTTAACCTCTATAGACAGTCTGTGGTAACTGTCTTGTTAACCTCTAGAGATAGTCTGTGGTGACTGTCTTCTTAACCTCTAGAGATAGTCTGTGGTGACTGTCTTCTTAACCTCTAGAGATAGTCTGTGGTAACTGTCTTCTTAGCCTCTAGAGATAGTCTGTGGTGACTGTCTTGTTTACCTCTAGAGATAGTCTGTGGTAACTGTCTTGTTAACCTCTAGAGATAGTCTGTGGTGACTGTCTTGTTTACCTCTAGAGATAGTCTGTGGTAACTGTCTTGTTTACCTCTAGAGATAGTCTGTGGTAACTGTCTTGTTTACCTCTAGAGATAGTCTGTGGTGACTGTCTTGTTTACCTCTAGAGATAGTCTGTGGTAACTGTCTTGTTTACCTCTAGAGATAGTCTGTGGTAACTGTCTTCTTAGCCTCTAGAGATAGTCTGTGGTAACTGTCTTCTTACCCTCTAGAGATAGTCTGTGGTAACTGTCTTCTTAACCTCTAGATAGTCTGTGGTGACTGTCTTGTTAACCTCTAGAGATAGTCTGTGGTAACTGTCTTGTTAACCTCTAGAGATAGTCTGTGGTGACTGTCTTCTTAACCTCTAGAGATAGTCTGTGGTAACTGTCTTCTTAGCCTCTAGAGATAGTCTGTGGTGACTGTCTTGTTTACCTCTAGAGATAGTCTGTGGTAACTGTCTTGTTAACCTCTAGAGATAGTCTGTGGTGACTGTCTTGTTTACCTCTAGAGATAGTCTGTGGTAACTGTCTTGTTTACCTCTAGAGATAGTCTGTGGTAACTGTCTTGTTTACCTCTAGAGATAGTCTGTGGTGACTGTCTTGTTTACCTCTAGAGATAGTCTGTGGTAACTGTCTTGTTTACCTCTAGAGATAGTCTGTGGTAACTGTCTTCTTAGCCTCTAGAGATAGTCTGTGGTAACTGTCTTCTTACCCTCTAGAGATAGTCTGTGGTAACTGTCTTCTTAACCTCTAGATAGTCTGTGGTGACTGTCTTGTTAACCTCTAGAGATAGTCTGTGGTAACTGTCTTGTTAACCTCTAGAGATAGTCTGTGGTGACTGTCTTCTTAACCTCTAGAGATAGTCTGTGGTAACTGTCTTGTTAACCTCTAGAGATAGTCTGTGGTGACTGTCTTCTTAACCTCTAGAGATAGTCTGTGGTGACTGTCTTCTTAACCTCTAGAGATAGTCTGTGGTGACTGTCTTGTTAACCTCTAGAGATAGTCTGTGGTAACTGTCTTCTTAACCTCTAGAGATAGTCTATGGTGACTGTCTTGTTAACCTCTAGAGATAGTCTGTGGTAACTGTCTTCTTAGCCTCTAGAGATAGTCTGTGGTGACTGTCTTGTTTACCTCTAGAGATAGTCTGGGGTAACTGTCTTCTTAACCTCTAGAGATAGTCTGTGGTAACTGTCTTGTTAACCTCTAGAGATAGTCTGTGGTAACTGTCTTCTTAACCTCTAGAGATAGTCTGTGGTAACTGTCTTCTTAGCCTCTAGAGATAGTCTGTGGTGACTGTCTTGTTTACCTCTAGAGATAGTCTGTGGTGACTGTCTTGTTTACCTCTAGAGATAGTCTGTGGTAACTGTCTTGTTTACCTCTAGAGATAGTCTGTGGTAACTGTCTTGTTTACCTCTAGAGATAGTCTGGGGTAACTGTCTTCTTAACATCTAGAGATAGTCTGGGGTAACTGTCTTCTTAACATCTAGAGATAGTCTGTGGTAACTGTCTTCTTTATTTCTAGAGATAGTCTGTGGTAAATATGGTTTTGAAATTAATGCTGAGATTTTCTCACGCTGTTGTAAATACACACCGAAAAAAAGGACAGGGAATAGTATGCAACCCTGTCTCACTCACACAGTGGTTGTGAAAAATTTTGCCAATGTCATTCTGAATGAGGACTGCAATGCTAGCATCTTTCTAAAGTGATTCAGTCTGTGTCGGTGACGTTCTTATCGAAGCCTAATTTTCTCATTATTTGCCAGAGCCCCGCACTTCACACACGTTCAAATGCCTTTGAAAAGTCAATAAAGTTATGGAATAGGCCACATTGATGTTGTAAGTGTTTTTCCATCATTGTTCTGATGTTGAGGACTTGTTCCGTGGTGGTACTATGTTTCCGGAAACCCGCCTGTTCTTCGGCTAGTATTACTTCAGATTTTGCTTTCAGTCTGTTAAGACTTTAGTATTATTTTGCTTGCGTGGGTGATAAGACTAATAGTTCTGTCATTGTTGCAGCTTTTTAGATTACCTTTCTTTGGCAGTGGTATCACTAACGATTGTGTCCATTCAGCAGTCACCTGCACCAAAACACAGCTGTATGTTACACGGGGAGATTTTGACCGTACTATAGCTTTCATTAAAACTGCAGCCAGGTTTACTGATAAATATTCTGACAGACGGATAGAAGAAGATGAAAAAGAAGAAGACAATACATGACGATGAGATACTAGAATACATAAAAAAGCAAGTACATGAAATGATGAAATAAAACCAATCAACCAGTACTTGACAACGAAGAGAAAACTATCCGTCAAACAACAAACATCAACGGCAGACCTACCTCCATGTACACAGCGAATGGCATGACGACGACAGCAACCATGATGTCGGCAACGGCCAGTGAACAGATGAAGTAGTTGGTCACCGTCTTCAGGCTCTTCTCTTTGATGACGCTCATCACAACCAGGATATTGCCGAAGACGGTCAGAAGGGGGATAATTATCAGAATTAGAGTCCAGAATCTGTATTCCTCGTCCAAGAGAGTTGCCGGACCCTGAGTTGAGGTGTCGTTTTCTTCCGGGTTGAAGAGGTCCCAGGATTCGCAACTCCCATTGGTCCTGTTAAAACACAGAGTATCCGTTTGGTTCCAGACCAGGTTCCAGGATGTAGGAACTGGGTCCTTGTGAGCGTCAAAGTGATTATGGTGGAGGGGAGGAAGTGTTGAGGTGTGGCTGCTGCCCAGGTTCAGCAGGTGTGTGTTCGATGATGGAATTGATGTTGACCAACTTGAGGTTGAAAATGGCATAGAGGTATCACGAGTGTGGACCTGGTGAGCGGAAGAGTGGCCGGGATTTAGAGGCACCATCTTGTGTCAGGTGTGATCTATGTGTGACCATGGTGACCTTTAATGAGACGATGCTAGATTAGGATCATCGCTCTTTTAAATAATAGCTGATATTGACACCGATTATGACGAATTTGAAGGCGTTGATGACTCAGTCCCAGACTTTCGGTTTGGGTATACATCAAGACATGAAAACTTGTCCTCGGCACCTGCATCCCTCCACTCGCTTTTATCCCCCTCGGGGTCACTTCCGTACATCTCTTCGCAAGAAGGTAGCCTGTTGATCTAGGCCCGAGAATCAGGAGTTGTTTCAGCGTCCGCACAAAGACAAACTGTAACAGGTCATTGTTAAGTGCATTCAGTTAATTACCTTAAAAACACTATTTGACAGCATATGACTAATTAAGAGTCCCGTGTGATTCTCTTATCTTTATCTTCTTCTTCTTCTTCTTTGCATTTACCAGCTGTACACTTTGGCGGAAAGTTCTGGTTATTCGTCCACTTCTGGACTGCAGTCCTGCTCCAGAACTCGTGTTGCATGTGCATCAGTTTTACAGACCTGATTCACTTGAATGCAGACTGTTGGTTCCTTGCCTCTCAGGCAGATGCATTCCGACCTCAAATGAAGCTCCCAATTAGTCGACTCTTACGACATGCTTTTGGGTAGGCAGTGGGTCTATTCTTATCTTTATAATTCACCTGTCAATTACGTTTCAGCGTAAAGTTAATTTATACCTCTGATACAGTCAGTACCTATAGGTGTTGTGTGTGTTTGTTTGTTTTTTGCCTTAATTTAATAGAAATTATTTTTAAAAAATATTTCTTTTCTTTCCCGTGAGACGCTCTCATAAATTAACTTGGTCTGGAAGGATAACCCATCATGTCTTTCATTTTCTTACTGTTAGTTAGTTAGTTAGTTAGTTAGTTAGTTAGTTAGTTAGTTAGTTAGTTAGTTAGTTAGTTAGTTAGTTAGTTAGTTAGTTAGTTAGTTAGTTAGTTAGTTAGTTAGTTAGTTAGTTAGTTAGTTAGTTAGTTAGTTAGTTAGTTAGTTAGTTAGTTAGTTAGTTAGTTAGTTAGTTAGTTAGTTAGTTAGTTAGTTAGTTAGTTAGTTAGTTAGTTAGTTAGTTAGTTAGTTAGTTAGTTAGTTAGTTAGTTAGTTAGTTGTTACGGTTCCGGTATCACAGCAAACGAGCTTGGCCCACAATTGCTCAACTACCTATGCCAGTGATTCCAGTCACAAACTGAGTCAGATACGCTGGATACTTCAGGTGAATGCCGTAGCCCTACAAAGTATCCTCGGTCAGCAAAACATACATGATTTGATCTGGCAAACCATAAGGTGCAAGCCTCCTTTAACACACTGCGAGACCAGGTGTCATCGCTGAAAATCACCTTTATTCGACGAATGGCTGGGCGATGAGTAGATTAAACTATTCCAGACCATTCTCAACATATCTTTGGCCAAGTTGCAGCCACAGCCAGCAAATAAATAGCAGCTATAGCACACGCCTTGTCCTATGAACACAACGAAGAAAAATACATCACCCATCATTGCCAAAATGTACGAATCTGAAACTCATTCAATAACCGATAATCATTGCTCGCAGTGCCGCCAGGAGCACTAACCTCAGTAGCTCCGGCTGCAAACTGCACTTCCCCAATCTTGCAACATCGAAACTGGAGGAGAAACGGAGACGAGAACGGTAAACATGAGCCAAGTTCGCAACCGTCATTCATTCCCTATCAATGTCGGAACTGGACTTATACTTCCCTAATGATTACAGTTTCTCTTTGGGTTATCGTTTCGTCATATTAAACTTTCCCTGCAATAATATTTCCCTCCTAACGTAAATATGCTTTTCTTTCTGGGAGAAATATTTTCTCTCCATTTCACATTTTCTGTCTGTGATTAATTCCGTTGACATAGTCCCCCTGCCGCCCACTCCCGCACCTCCCTGTGTAATTCATCAACTATAGTTGCTTTATGCTACTTGAGAAATGTCCCTTCCTGGTTGGTATTTGTAATTGGTGTATTTGTTCGTCGTTGATTTCTTCCCGCGATTTATATTTTAACACTGGTCAGAAATACTTCATTTTGCACTTCCACTTTACGACTAACTCCTTAGCTCACAATTCTTGTATATATAACTGAGATTACATGGTCACTACGTTATCTCTCCCCTCTCAATGTAAAGTTATCAAACCATGTATACTTACGCCTTAAACCTAAGCATACGTCTGAAGCAGTATCCAAGCAACGTGAGGCAAGTAGCAGATATTTATTCCGAATATTACCTCATAATTTCTCAAGTTTAATTTATCAGTCTAACTTGTGAAGATTAGTAGTTAACTCGTTCATGTTGTGTTACTTGTTGTTAGTTTTGTCTAGACGAATGTTATTTTGTGACGACGGGACACATCCTTTCCCAGAGTAATTGGCAATCTGTTTAAATCTTCGACAAAAGTTAAACTTGTCTAGAACTAACACCGAGTTACCTCCGCTTACTAGTTTATCACACATTAGTAAAACGGGTTGTCTTGTGTGCTGTTTAGGATACATCATATATTTCATCTTAACACGTCTTTGTTGTAATTACCAATCACTTTTTGAATTCTAATTTTTTCAAATCCCTATAAATTAATCCTTTCCGTGAACACTGGTGAGCACGGGGCTGAAAGACAAAGACGTGTTACAGATGAAAACGTCATTAGTTGCGGTGTCTTGAATTTGATCTGTGACACATTTGTAAAGATGTCTGTGAAAGTTTGTAGGTACAGTTCCCTCCCTCTTAATAAATCTACAGTGCGCTAGCAAACAGCAGGGATGTGCTGTTCATTATGCTATTTGTATAATGGAACGTGTAAGCAGTTACATGGATACCTCGCTATTGATCTCCATCTACCAACGGGCTGCCTTACAAACTAGCTCCATGCATATTTGAGTGGCAGGCGTGCTTGTTTGGGTAAAGTACCAGTTAAATCGGGAAGATCCATTTAAATGCACTGGCTTTTATCCCCCCAAAAAATGATTCGGCCTCTTCCCCAGAACAGATAGACACCAGCCGAGAGTGTCAGACAAAGCAGGAACTGCCTAGACCCAGAGACGATTCCACGAATCTCCATTAAAAACTGCACACGTGAACCGCATGACGCATCCGTGAAACGAACCAACTACATTCAAAAAATGAGGCTAACGGCTTACCACTTTCCCATAGCGACCCGCCGACTGTATGTGTAGTGGTTGATATGTTTTCCTTATGGAGCCATGTAGATTGTAGAGCACTTCTCTTTTTGGCTGGAAATAACGGTGGGTGAATGGCTCTCGTGACAGCGCTAATCCCGTGAATAACTGAACCAGGAAGCAAGTGGATGCAGATGTCTGATGATCTATAGTGAGTTCCAGAAGTCATACGAAACTTTAAAAGTCTGTAACTCAGTAACTTTTCGGTGTAAGTTGTTAAAATGTGGTCAGGCAATCCAATAATAATAATGTCTTTGCAAGAATTTAAATAAGTTTCGTTTTTCATCTAATGATATATAAGGGAAAAGACACCAATTCGGAGCAGGCAGGCAGCATCTTTATGGTTAATTGAGTAATGGAAACCTTTTAAAACATCACATTGCACGCAATGTAAGACAGACAGACAGATCGACAGACATAGAGACAGTCAGACAAAAAGGCAGACAGACAGGCAGGCGGACGGACGGACGGACAGACAGACAGACAGACAGACAGACAGACAGACAGACAGACAGACAGACAGACAGACAGACAGACAGACAGACAGACAGACAGACAGACAGACAGACAGACAGACAGACAGACAGACAGACAGACAGACAGACAGACAGACAGACAGACAGACAGACAGACAGACAGACAGACAGACAGACAGACAGACAGACAGACAGACAGACAGACATGCGGGCGGGCGGGCGGGCGGGTGGGCGTGCAAGCGGACGAACAGACAGACAGATAGATAGATAGATAGATAGATAGATAGATAGATAGATAGATAGATAGATAGATAGATAGATAGATAGATAGATAGATAGATAGATAGATAGATAGATAGATAGATAGATAGATAGATAGATAGATAGAACTTTATTTTGAAAGGGTCACAAATTGGGCACGCAGGCCCGTCTTACATTCGGCCCTTCCAAACACCCGTATTTCACACTGCAGCTGTATCAATCACAGTATCAACAAAATGACACCCCAAAAAGTCGTGTTATTTCCTCATGCAGAAACTCCATTGTTTAATTAAAGAGGGAATCATCAACGCCCATGCGTTATAAATATAAAATTAGAAAGGGGAATTTCCCAAATCACTTCTATAGAAACTCAGTACAGCACGACCGGCGGCTGCAGCAGGTCGATTAATTCTCGGTGATTGTTCACGGAAGCGTGTCTGCATCATTTGTTCAACTATCACTTGTTGGGAGGAGCAGATAGGTTTCCGCAGTCAGATGTTTTCTTTAACAGTTTATAATACACTGTCACAGTCTGTGGCTTAGGTGTTGCGAACATGCTTCGTAATTATCTCTTGCCCGGAGAGATATGGAAATGTTCGTGTGTGTATCAAAAACTAAAAAATGTTCGACAATGGCGCTCAGATAGGACACAATAAATACCAGTAAAACTAAGGTAATGAGAAATAATAATACAGTCGAGTCCACTTAAGTCGAACTCGGAAATTTCGCTTAAGTCGACATGACCAGCTTAGTCCCAGTAATTTTTTTCCCTTTACCTTACTATTTAAAACCCTGATTCGTCGAATTCGGTTAACTCGAATATTTGGATAAGTCGAATCTTAAAAAAAAAAAATTCCTACTATATACGCGTCCCTGTTTAAGTCAAACTGTTCATTATCATCAGTCATCAGTTCTCGTTATGCCTAGTGGCACATGAGGCTTTAGAGAGGACTTTCCATGCTTTCCTGTCCTGTGCAACCCTC